CTACCACACTCTCTCCATTCATTTACTAAACACTTTCTCTCTCTTGATCTGAGCACTGACTTAAGCATCGGAGGCCCGACGCCGGAGCCACTCCCGGCGTTGGGTTCTGCAGGTACGGAGGCCGGTTCGAGTTGAAGGAGCCCGGGTGAAACTTATTCACTTCATTTTGCTCGAGCAGGTTGTTTATGGATTATGGTTTGGTTGTTCGTTGATTCTGGTTTGTCGAATTTGTCTTTTTCGACCTCTTTGGCGGGTCAAGTATATTCATTTTGCTCGAGCAGGTTGTTTATGGATTCTGGTTTGGTTGTTCGTTGATTCTGGTTTGTCGAATTTTCTTTTTCGACCTCTTTGGCGGGTCGAGTATATTCATTTTGCTCGAGCAGGTTGTTTATGGATTCTGGTTTGGTTGTTCGTTGATTCCGGTTTGTCGAATTTTTCTTTTTCGACCTCTTTGGTGGGTCGAGTATATTTATTTTGCTCGAGCAGGTTGTTTATGGATTCTGGTTTGGTTGTTCGTTGATTCTAGTTTGTCGATTTGTCTTTTTTGACCTCTTTAGCGGGTCGAGTATATTCATTTTGCTCGAGCAGGTTGTTTATGGATTCTGGTTTGGTGGTTCGTTGATTCTGGTTTGTCGAATTTACTTTTCGACCTTAGTGACGGGTCGAGGATACTCACTATGGCTCGAGCAGGGCAGGTATATGGGATTCATTACGGCACAAGCAGGTTGATGGCTTTTGCTTGGTTTGGTCTTGTCGACTCTATTTTTCGACCTTTGTGGTAGGTCGAGGAGTTCAATCAGAGCAATCCATGAAATCAGGTTGTTTGGGTTTTGAGAAGATATACAACAGGCTTGAATTTTAAATTTTAAACTGAGAGGCGATAGGACGAGGGGGTATAAGAGAGCTCGAACATGGCGATCGAAACACAATAGACGTAAATTCAAATTTTCAAATTCAAGATTGCAGGGAGTGGTCATTCAGTTTATGTTTTTCGACCACATCGGCGATTATCAGTGGTCCTTCGGTTTTTGGTTCTCGTTTTCAGTGGCATCGCGATTCTTGTTTTTCGACCACATCTGTGGTCTCTTGGTTCTCGGCTTTCGACCTCAACTGTCTCTCGACTCTTAGTATTCGACCTCCACGGTCTTGACGCTCAGTTTTCGACCTCCATGGTCTCGACGCTCGGTTTTCGACCTCCACGGTCTCGACGCTCGGTTTTCGACCTCCACGGTCTCGACGCTTGGTTTTCGACCTCCACAGTCTCGACTCTCGATATTCGACCTCCACGGTCTCTCGAAGCTCGGTTTTCGACCTCAACGGTCTCGACTCTCGGCTTTCGACCACAGCTGTCTTGATTCTCAGTTTTCGACCTCCTCAACGGTCTCGACTCTGGGCTTTCGACCTCAACGGTCTCTTGGTTCTCGGTTTTCGACCACAGTGGTCTCGACTCTCGGTTTTCGACCTCAGCGGTCTCAACTCTCGGTTTCTCGACCTCTGTCGAAGGTCCTTCAATCATTTATCTCAGTGTATGGTCATTCAGTTTTCGACTCCTTACGGTCTCCGGTGCTCACGTGGAAGTTT